GACTTGTCTTTTCCCTACAAATAGTCATGTATTACTCATTATTAGGGTTAAGAGTGAGGCAAAATGTAGCCGCCACGTGAGGTTTCTTATGTAGTGTTAGATTCTTTAGTCTATGCTGAAAGTGTAGTTTATTCCTCATATTTGAATAAATCAAGTGATCAATTGACATAATCTTCATATTTGTGTTTGTTCTTATTTTTCGCATCTTGTTCATCAAATCTCAATAAAGGTTTAATCCTAACAAGTGTTATTAGAGCGGGTCTTTGAAGATCTATTGATTTTTGAAGTATCGGTTCTTGATTTGGTGATTTTCTGCACATATATTGAATATTATTGGTGTTTTGTTGGTATGGATTCAAGATTTCTGTTCAAGTTACTATTCATGAAGATTTATGGTGTTTGCTCTATTCATCTGGGTAAAATTTTAATCTCGTTCGTATTTCATTCATACTTTCTGTTCGATTTTTTATTCCAAAATCAATCTATTATATTTCTTTTGATTTGGCCCAAAGATTTGGTACCTTACTGTGCATTTGATTATCTCAAGCCCAAATTCAATTTGTCATTGTTCGTTTTATCTCAAATCATCACTCGTGTTTTGTCTTCCTGTTGAAGTTCTTCACCGTTTCACGATTATCGATATTGTTCAGAGGATTCAATTTGAAGCCTTAATCGCTTTTTGGTTAATCGATTCAAGCTCCTCATGAATCACCATTCTCATGATGTCTATCTTTGATCAAATTTATTCTTTATTTAATTGATTTTTTTTCCAATTGAATCACTTTCATCTTCAAAATCATCTAGCAATTCATGGATTTATCCAGACTTGTCATTCAACTGAGATTGTCGATTTCATCATAAATATGAATCAATTTCAAATAATCGATGTATATTTTGATGTTATTTGTATATCACTAATTTCTCATGAATCGATGATATAAGCAATTGATATCTATCGATTATCAACTATCATTCCTAAGTGGTTCGTATTTGTTGAATTTGGTGATCTTGATATGACGAATCATAAGCAGAAAGATCTTTGAGTTTGTATTTCGGAATGCAAATGTCATCAGAATCGATTGTAAAGGAAAAAGTGACTTCACAATAGAAGTGTCGATTTGAACGAAGATGAAAGGAATGAACTTGCGAATCATGAATATTGCATCGGAATAAAGGGGACGCTTTGGGAACGCGTATCAGAATACACTATTTTATGGAACAATCGGAACGATGATGAATCAAATTTTCTTTGGTCTATCTTGTGACAGTGTTTCGAGATTGGAATGAAAAAGTGATTTCGATCTCAGAATCTAAACCGATCTCGATCTTGGTACTAGATTTCAGAATTATTATGATGAATGGACTCAGAATCGGAACTCCTTTCTTCAATCGGAAGCGAACATGTGATTGGAATTAGTGTAATCATCTGTTGATTTGAAGCGAAAGGCGATGGAATCGGATTGGGTGTACCTGGAACGAATTTGGGTTCACGTGATTATACTTGGAACGAAAGAGGGAAGGACCGAAAGCGAACCTATGCTCGGACCGAACATGGTTTCGATTCAATGAACCTGGACCGAACTTGGTTTCAGTTGCTTGTACTTGGAACGAAAGTATGATCCGCGAGTATTAATTTTGGGGTCTCGCATTTGTTCCAGTCGCTGCATCCCTTTTATCAGGCGTCTAAATGGGGAAGAAGATGCTTTAATGTTTCATATTTGGTCCCTTTAACTCCAGCGAATTGGCACTTTTGGTCCCTGTTGTTTTCACAATTTAATATTTTTGTGCCAATCCCAGAAATTGTTACAAATAAAGGGGTATATTGATGCAGAATTACCACTCCAGCCCCTGTTTTTTTTCAGCAAGTGACAATTTCAGCCCATTTTTTTGAAAAGTTTGCAATTTTAAGGGCTGGTGAACAGTTTTTGAATTCTTTAATGCACACATTTTTCGTGAACAGAAAATTATGGATTCCATCAAGTCTTGGAGGTTCGGAAAGTTATTTAACGTCAAATTTTACACGACTTTTTCGGATTTTATACTTCATTGTGTATATCATTTTGTCGCGGGGGAGCATAGTAAATTGTTATCCATTCAAGATCATTCTCATTACCATTTGAAGGTTGTATGATCATGTTTTTGATTATAAATCGGTGGAGAATTTGGTATGGCCATTCAAAATTGGATTTATGACTTTTCAAAGTTGAAGATTTTTTAAAAATCTTGTGGTAGAATAATGAAGGTAGCTTTTACAGCGGAAGTTCTTCATCGAGCTCTGCTAAAGTTTTACAGAGAAGTATCCTTTACAGCAGAAGTTCTTTATCGAGCTCTGCTAAGGACTTGTTATATCTCTGACTTCTAGTATTTTCTTGATCAAGTGGCATTACGAATCTTAAAGTTTGGGTTGTTATATGATATTTTTTGGTGGCTTATATCATTAGCTTATTTGAAGATCATTGTGACTTGGAGGGGGAGCTCTTCAAAGACAAGAAGTGATTCGGTTTCTTTGTTCTGATATGGGTTTTTATGGTGGGATTGGTTTTCATGAAGATTTTTTTGGGATTACATTCGAAAATGAAGTTTAAAGACATTACTTCAGTGCTTGATTTTATATCCTAGAGCCCGTGTTTGAAGACTATTGAAGAATAAAGATTCGTGGATTACTTCATCTATTCCTCATTACAAGATCTTTTTATTTGCTAGATGCTTGTTTTGGAAGTTAAAGCATTGTCATCCATTCCATACTTTGAGGGGGAGATTGTAGGGTTTCAAAGCACTCTATGGATGATAACAATGGGCCCCTTGATGAAGTGTAGGTTAAAAGCCCAAGACTTTTCTTTTCCCTATAAATAGTAATGTATTATTCATTATTAGGGTTAAGAGTGAGGCAAAATGTAGCCGCCACGTGAGGTTTCTTATGTAGTGTTAGATTCTTTAGTCTATGCTGAAAGTGTAATTTATTCCTCATATTTAAATAAATCGAGTGATCATTAGACATAATCTTCATATTTGTGTTTGTTCTTATTTTCCGCATCTTGTTCATCAAATCTCAATTAGGGTATTAATCCCAACATTATATATAACTAGAATCACATGTGATTTGATGAATGTTGAATAAGTATAATTAACATAACTTTGATCATATGTGTTTTTTGTTATGTAATCATATGTGATTAATCAATCTTTAATCACATGTGACTAAAGTTATGTTAATGTTTATTTTTGTAAATGCCAATCAAGTATTAATAACTTACTATACAATTCCTTGCACATTGAACAACCATTCACCAAACATTTCTTCTTCTGTTGTTAATTTTGTTTGCAAGCAAATGGCTCTCTCTTTATACTGAGACCTCGTTTATTCGATTGGCTTCTTCTTTCTTTGTTGTCGAGATTGTTGAGTTATATTTTGCTTTTCTGTAACCTCAGGCAAAGACTCTTTATTTTGATTTTTTGAAATCACAAAATTTATCTTCAGCCGGCTCTCTCTTTTTTGATTTGGCACATCTTTCACCACAACTTCTTTTTTACCTTTATCTGTTTCTTCTTCACGAGTATTATGCAATTCATATATGATTATAACCGTTAGAAAAATATTAGAATCATAATTTTATAATTTTTATAATTATCGTTAATCACATAAAATTGTAAGTTTAAGTAAATTGATAATTAGTTTTAATCACATGGGATTGTACATTTAAGAAATAATGAAATCATATGTGATTACCTTCATAAAGATATGATATTTTACAAATAGACAAAATAATATTTACCTCAGTCATGTCTGGGGGTGTCAACTGGCTTATGATGAGATCATACGAGGGCATCATACTCTTTTTTTTTTCTCATTGTATTCTTTCATGGTCTTTTCATAAAGAGAATTGGCTTCATGATCATTTAATATTTGGGTACTGTAAAATGTTGATGTGTTTCCAAAAATACTTTCAATAACATTAGTTATTGTTTTGTTCACATCTTAATCAAAAATCACATAAACAAAATAAGTAAGTATATATTACATATGATTAATCAATACTTTTTTTTTTATCAATTGTGATTTAATAACCTTTTTGTGTTTTTTTATTTATTATAATCACATAGGATTAAAACATAATAATTTTTTATCGCATATGATTAAAACATAACATGGCTATAGCTTTTAATCATATGTAATTGATTATCTTTGTATGTATTGTAATCACATGTTATTAAAAGTTATGGTTATAGTAAAACAAAGTACTTTTTGTCGATTATCATCACATGTGATTAGTTATATAGGTACAATAATCACTTGTGATTATACTAAAACATATTAACATTTTATAAATAATATGTTTATATAGGAACGAATGTTATTCAAAGAAGAGTTTTTGTAGATATTTATTTAGTATAATAAGTTAGTATAGTCATTTGAACATGTAACCGTAAGTGAATATAAGCGTAAGTGATTTTAATGATTTAATTATTTGTGGTTATAATCATATAATCATATGTGATTATAGATAAATATTGATATGTTTTTCAATAATCATATGTGATTATACTAAAACATATCAACATCTATAGACAATAATTAAAGAAAAGTTTTACAATATTTAATCATATGTGATTATCAATTACATCAAAAGATTTTTAAATTCTACAAATTACATACAATAAAATTTAAATTGCTTAATACATAAAAAGAGTGTATTTCAATATAATATTTTTATTAGATAAATGTGATTGGTACCTTCTATTTGAACAACATTTGTTCCTATCAATTCTGCGTATATAATTAAAAAAAATTGTTAATCATATACGATTAAAAAAATAAATTACACAAAGATATTATATTTATATGTGAATATAATCACATGTGATTATAATGTATGTAATAACATGTGTTTATAACATGTTTGATCATATGTTATTGTTAGATTTATGTAATCATATGTGATTAACAAAGTATATTGAGCCAATATAATATATATTTTTTATGTGAACATAATCACATGTGATTATAACGTATCTAATGACATGTGATTATTACATATTTAATCATATAATTTTATAGTCATATGTGACTTAGAAATATATTCTTATATTTACCTTCTCTAACATTGTTTTGTTCTTCACTAGTAATTCCTTTTCCTTTCTCAGCATTCATATGTTCTAGATTCTTCCCATCTGTACCTGAATATAATTAAAAAAATTATTAATATTATAATCATATGTGATTTTAATATATGTAATCACAAACGATTACAATGTATCTAATCACACATGATTATAACATATTTAATCAAATGTGATTATACATTAAGTAATCAAATCTGATTATTATATTTGTAATCATATGTGATTAAAAAAAATATTGTACAAAGATATCATATTGTTATGTGAATAATAATCGCATGTGATTACAATACATGTAATCATATGTGATTATTATATATGTACAAATATACTATATTTGATTATTACATATGTAATCATATGTGATTATTAAATATGTAATCATATGTGATTAAAAAAATATTATATTATAGTTATATCTATTTTACAAATATATGTAATCATATGTAATCATATTTACCTTCTCTAATTCTTTGTGGTTCTTCACTAGATTTTCCTTCTCATTTCTTAGCATTCTTCCTTTCTATATTCTTCCCCTCCACACCTGATTACAATTAAAAAAAATTATTAATAATTTGTGAATGTAATCACTTGTGATTAAATACATTATAATTACATATGATAACACCCCTTTATAATCTTACGTGATTATAATATATCTAATCACCTTTGATTATAATATATGTAATCATATTTACCTTCTCTAACTATCTATGGTTCTTCACCAGTTCTTCCTTCTCATTTCTTATCATTCTTCGCTTCTATATTCTTCCCCTCTACACCTGTAATCACATTTGATTATAATATATGTAATCGTATATACTTTATTAATCTATATTGTTGTTTACCTCCCCCTCCAGCATTTTGTTCTTCTTCATTATCACCACCTTTTTCATTTTCAACACCTTCATCATCTAAATTCATGTCATCCAAACCTTGATCATTATTATCAATTTCATCTTCCTTACCATTTGCATACAATAAAAATTTGTAGTTAATCACATGTCATTGTAAAAAGTTATTTTTAACAATCATATATGATTTAGTAAAATATTACTTACCTGCTATTTCAATATATTCACCTCCTTCATCTTTATTTTTTCCTTGTTGTTCCTTTCCTCCTTTAACATTCTCATTTTCTTCTCCGATACCTCCACATAATTTAAGATACGTATTTAATCACATGTGATTTTATAGAGATTTTTTTAAATACACTTGCCTCCTTCGATATTTTCACCTCCTACATTCTTTTTATTTGATTCATTATTGTCATCTTCATCATCATCACTTTTGTCATCTTGAACATCGTCACTTTTGTCATCTTGAACATCATCACTCCCATTTTTTTCTTGATTATCTTTATTCTTATCTTTAAAATTTGCATCAAAGCTAATTTTCAAATGATTCAAGGTTATATTTTCTGGGAATTTATTTATTCCATCTTCAGTCAGCATATCTAACTTCCTATACTTAATCATAACCACTTCCTCATAAGCCTACATAATAAATAAATTAAAATATATATTAATATATAGAATAAAACATGTAAGATATTAATAAATAATTATGAGTTTTCATATAATTGTTGCAATTAAATTTACCTCCCCATTCAGATCTTCCTCAACAAACTTATTGTTAGAATCCTATATTCCAAAATCGCAAAGCTTGTCCTTTTTCTCTCATCTTTATCTACTCTAAAGTCCAGTGGCAGATCACTGGACATGTTCTTTCAACCTTAAGTAAATCAGATTGGATTCTGTCTAGATAAAGCAACTGCAAAAAATATATATTATATATCACATGTGATTTAATATAGTTATTCATGATTTAATTTTTTAACAAATTCTATTAATCCTATATGATTTTACAATCATATGTGATTTAAGAATCTAACATTTAAATCACATGTGATTATAGCTACTCATGTTAGAACATATGATATAAATAAATAAAAATCATATGTGATTTTAAAGATATTTAAATAGAATAAAACATATTAAACATACCACCAAATAAGCACATGGTCCATTAAAATTGCTTGTTGGATTGGATGGATCAAAATACTGTTTGTTTTTAACCAAACAATCTATCAGATAAGAACACCAGCCGATGTTGCTTATTTTTGTCTTGCTTGTTATGTAGTTCAATGGGTTGGTGTTTGCTTTTCCTGAAGAGCTTGATTCTATCAGCAAGTTGATCAACAAAGCTATGAAATTCATCCTGAAATTCATATATGCCTTTTTGGTGGAAACAATCTTCATCTTTATATCTTGAAGTTAAACCATCTTCTTATATTCAAATTGCTTTGTCTATTCTTCATAACATTTATCTTCTTGAATGGAAGTTTTGAAAACTGTTTTCTTCCCAAAGTAAATCCAATAATTTCTTTCACTGATTCTTTGCTGACATCAATCACTCCTCTTTGAAGAACTGTCTTCTTTGTCTCTGAGTTAAAATTCTTAAGAACAAAGTAACTTAAGGCACATGGGACCTCTGTCATCTTCATCTTTAATATCCCTGCAACCCGTTTGTCTCATACAATCTTTTTGTACTTCATTGAAGCCTTGTATAACGGACAACAAAGCTCCAGGTGTACACCTATAGTAAGAATTAATGAAGTTATTATACATGTTTTATAATTTCATCACATGTGTGTTAACTTAAAAATATATAAAATATGTTTTGAATAATCACAAGTGATTGATTTTTAAATCATATATGATTTAATAAATTTTTGTATAATCACCTGTGATTGATTTTTTTGTATATAAAAGATATTAATCACATGGTGATTCATTTTTGAATCATATATGATTAATAAAATTATTTAAGAATTAGAAGTGATTCATTTTTGAAACATATATGATTTAATAAATTATCTTTTTTGTATAATCACATGCGATTGATTTTCTTTTCCATATATAAAAGATCTTAATAAGATGTGATTTAATAAAGTTATTGTTAAATCACATATGATTTAATAAAATTATGTTTTTGTATAAAGTTGTTAATAACAAAGTTATACATATTTCTAATTGTATCAAAATGCTTCTTTACTATCTTCTTCTTTCTTTTCTTTATCTCTTTTGTTTTAGAATTAGAATCTTCTTCATTTTCATCCAGTAGTTGATCTTTTGTTTTTGAAGCTATGACTTTTCTCTTTCTTGACTAAGTTTTTTTTTCAGTTGTTATGAAAATAATAATCATATATTAAAACATTTATAATTGACAGTCAAGTTTTAAAAATGTAGTCATAATTAATAATTATGTAATTTTAAATACATATTATAATCATATGTGATTGAATTATACCTTTGTCGTGTTTTAACTTAGACATTCTTTCTATTGTGTCTTCTTCATTTGATATTTTTCCTTTTCCTTTAGACAGACAAATTGTAAAAAAAAGGAATAAATTATTATGAATTTATTTTTAATCAGATGCGATTTAACATATTGTTATCAATATATGTAAATCACATGTGATTAAATATCTTTTTTATAATATAAAATTATAAATAAGGGTAATCATATTTGATTATATAAGATTTATGTCTTTATGTTTATCATCATATGTGATTGACTTTTATAAACCATGTTTAGGACCATAATCATATGTGATTTAAATATACATATTTTGTCTATTGTTGTTTCCTTTTCTTCTATGAATAGTACAATAGCTATAATCAAATTCATATTTGTAAACAAATCAATAATAAACAAGTATAAATATAGATATAAATCACAATCAACAAAACAATATTATTATAATACAACGTAAAGTCTTATTGATTGATATTAATCACATGTGATTGATCATGTTTTTTTCATATAAAAGTAGGTAATCACATTGGATTAAAAATATAGAGTGTTATGTTTATTTTTATAATCATATTTGATTGAGTAATACCTTTCTTATTTTTTTCTTTTGTTGTTCTCTCTATTTATTCTTTTACACTATCCTTTTTCTTCTTTTGTCCTTTTGTTTTGGATTTTCTGAGATATAAAAATACATATATAATCAGAAAATGACAAAGTCAATTTTAATCAGATGTGATTAAATATACCTTTTTCAACTTTCTGTCGTGGTGATTTTCTTGTTGTTTTTGTTTCGGTAGGTTGTTTCTTTGTAGGTTTTTCCTTGTTTTGTTCTAAAAAAAAGTACAAATATAATTAGAAAATCATATTTGATTATACACATAAAATTTATGAATCACAAATGATTATTGAATGATTTAAGTGTTACCTTTTTGATTTGTTCTTTTGGTTGTTGCTTTTGTAAAATTTTGAGTAGTAGTCTCTTTATTGGTTTCTGAGATGTACAAATACATGTATTATAAGAAAATCATATATGATTATTTCAACCCATGACATATAAATATTAAATTGTTTATATAGATTGTGATTACATGTGATTCAATCTTTATTGTATGTATAAATTCATTATAAGTTCAAATTCATCAACAAAACATATATGATTGAACACAATCATTGCCATGTAAGATTGTTCATAACAGATTGTAACCACATGCGATTGAATATGTTTTTGATATATATGTAAGATGATAATCACATGTGATTAAACCATAATATGAATTTTTATGACAATACTAACATATGATTAATGAATAACACTTGTTTTTCTAATCATATGTGATTTTAATCAAAATTATTAAAACTATTATGAGTATAAAATGTGTAAATGACATATGATTTCAATCAAATCAATTCAAGATTGAACACAATCATTATAAATAAAATTTTGTTGATTATAATTGAATGTGAATCACATATGATTTCTATCATATGTTACTAATATAGATATTATCAGAAAATCATATATGAGTAAACATCACAAAATCATATATGATTAAAGGCCGTAAAATATATTAATATAACACAATGTTAATCATATGTGATTTTGAACATAATACTACATGTATCGATTGTTTTTTTATGACTTTTTTTTTCTTTTGTATGTTTGTTCATATGATTTTGATTTTTCTGCATGTGTAAAGCGATATTATTATCACCGTAATCAGTAGATAAACAAAATAAATAGTCATTAATAAAAAATAGAGCATAAAAACCCCTAGATAACAGATAAAATCCACTATTATTCAACTTTGTTAGGTGACTAGTTAGTATATAATCACAAATGATCAATTGATATCTTCATAATCAATAGATAACACTCGTAAATGAAAAATAGAGTATAAAATTCAAAAAAACCTACATAAAACACTCAATAACATTTAAAACCGAGTGCTATGAACTAAAATCTTTCAGTAACTGTTTATATTTCAAAAATAGATAACGACATGTCAAATACATTGTTGTAAGTTCAAAACAAAATCAAGGAATGCGTCGATTTTTACCTTGATCTGAAGTAGTTATTTTCGCAAAATCAGTCGTCGATTTTGATGAAATTTTTGTTCCCTAGAAATCAGTAGTTGATTTTGATGATTATCGACGAAGATTTAGGGTTTTTTTCGAGTTTTTGCGATGGTTTTCTTCACAGAAAAGTAGAGAGAGAAGTTATGGGGAACAAAATGAGGGGGAATGAGTAGTTATATGATGAAGGATTCAGTTTCTTTTGCATTTACAATATTGCTCCAACTTTCCAAACTTCTCAAAATTGTCCCTAATAAGAATATTTTTCTTTTTCTGTCTTTATTTTTGGAATACTACAATTACTTTACTTGGTTTAATATCTAAAGCCCAATCACCCCATGCGGAGCATGGGCTTCTCCTAGTTAAAGTGTATTTTTTGTGTATACATATATTACACATGATAATCTGAGTATTATTTTTATAACGTGAACATATTTAATCATATGTGTTTTTTTCTTTTTGTGTATGTATATATTACACATGATAATCACATGTGATTATTTATAATATTTTATTTCATCCATATAATCATATGTGGTTGAAGTATAAACCATACAATGATCATATGTGATTAATTTTCTAATCACATGTGTTTATATTAATGTTTATATGTTTAATCACATATTATACTATTGTATTTTTTTGCTTTTATACGCATAATCATATGTGATTGAGTATTCAAATTGTGTTTATGTTTGTAATCATATGTTAATTATTTTGTAAATGGTTATTAATCATATGTGATTTAAAAAATGTTTATAATCACATTTGATGGTGTATATAATAACATGTGATTGTCGATATCACATCTTATTGTACAAAGAACATATTATACTATTGTATTTTTCTACTTTTATATGTATAATCATATGTGATTGAGTATCCAAATTATGTTTATATTTTGTAATCATATGTTAATTATTCTGTAAATGGTTATTAATCATATGTGATTTAAAAAATGCTTATAATCACATGTGGTTGTTGATATCACATCTTATTGTACAAAGAACAAGACATTTTATAACTGTTAGAAATATCAAAGTCATGTGTGATTTAAAATGAAACATTGTCTAAACTTTAATTTACA